TCGCATTGTCCACGGGCCATACCACAAAGTTGCACAAGTAAATTAATGCAGGCTGCGTGCCACCACCACCCATCGAGCGCCATTAAGAATACTTTTTAATGCCAATAGCATTTGCATTTAAACGATCTCAGCTTCTGTCCACCCAACCGGACCCCGAAAAGGCATTAACAACAACGTACTGTCGTTTAGGGATGCGCAGTTATAAAAATTTATTACGTTCCGATTTGCTTTCCGTTGGCATTAAGCCATTTTTCCTTTTTTTTGGTGGAATGTGACGTCGGCCTAAAGGATTGTCGCGTGCCGACGTGCACCTGAGCAGGTAGGCCATGGCCATGGCTAAGCCCATCCATTCAGCGACCGGATGGAGATGTGATCAAGAACCATAATGGAATATAATTCCATAGATTGGTTCTAGCATTAGAATTGAGACTTGGTCTAGTACTTATTTTTGTGAAGATTCATAGATCAAATATAAACATTTCGTCATAATCACACTTGTTGCTGGTGCTCTCATTTTCCCCCGAAATAATCTACATGATAAATAGAACTCTAATTTGATTTTTACGATAGCAAAACAATTTAAAATATTCAGCTGATGTGCAACTTTAGCTGAGTGTTTGTATAAAAACAATTTTATAAGAAAGCATCGAATGGATCCAACTTGAGTCATCAATTAGAGTGGGATCTTTGATGCCTGGAAGTCTAATGGCATAAATCAACAGAGAATATACCGGTCTCCCCGGGGTGCTTCAGGGTGCCAAAAGGGGGAATTATCACTTGCAACATTTGCCCAGAGATCTGACTGTGTGTGTGCTCCCCTCAAAATTCAATTCGAGCATAATTAATGCAAAGGCAGCGCCTCAACTTGTTAATTATGCAGGCAGACAAATGCCATAACTGACCAGCTGACTGAACCTGAATCCGAGCCGAGCAATTAATGTGAATTTTCATGGTGACTTTCGACTGATATTTTGCACGGAACAATCTATTTAGAGATGAAAAAAATGCAATTTATATTTACTTGTGTTATTTTTTTGTATAGAAAAGTATATAATTCCTTTACTTTAAGATTACTTTAAGCGTAGGAATATATTGCTTTTTACTATTACTATATTACTATTACTAATACTATAAAAACTATCCACAAAATCCCCCAGCTACCATTATTAATGGTTGTGATATTAACGAAATATTAAAATAACATTGAGTTCTTTAAATACTAAATATTCTCTCAGTATCTATCAGTTCTTAAATCAAATTTATCTCTCTCTATCCATACGATATTATTTTGTCATTCCTAGTTCCATCGTCACCTCTGCCGCCTTTTCCCCTGATTTCCTCCCTCATCACGTGCTGGCCCTGAATCATGCCTCGACACTCGGTTCTATTTTGGTATTATGTAAAAATTCTCAAATACTTATAATAATTTCTTATTTTGGGAGGCAGACTATGGCCACTGGGGTGGATGCGGATGGGGGCAATCCTCTCTGATCCACTTCGATTCAGAACTAATCCAACTCGGAAAGCTGCGCATGCAATATGAAAGTTTATTCGCTCTGGCAAATGAAAAAGGACGACGTCCTCTGATCAATGCAAATTTAATGCAATTGGAATATGTTCCCCCAGCACCCAGGGAGGTTTCTGGGTTTCGTTTTCATTTAACCGACAGTCCCGCAACTGTTGCGCGAATCCTTCGTCGATTCCAGGAAGGATAAATGTAATTGAGGGGTTACAACAATATGACTGGGGAACAATGCGATGGCGATTGCCGGATGAAAGGACATGGGTGTGGAGCATCGAATAATAATGCGAGGGGGACACAGAAAGAAATTTCAAAGCAATTGGAAATAAGTAAAGAGGAATTCGTCTTTAAATTGAACTGAACTTTATAGGGAACTCTAATTTTAGTCAGAAGCTTGAAACGCTGAGAAGGAATCATTTCCGACCCTATAAATCATATATATTCTTGATCAGCATCAACAGCCGGATCAATCTATCCATCTCCGTTCGAAAAATAAAATTTTGAAAATTTTCCGAAATTTGAAAATTTTTATAAGGGGTTACATCATAGAAACTGGCAAAATTTGACAAAAAAGTGAAGTTTCTACATTTTAAAACTGAGTATGCAGATTTGTTAGCCATTTAAAAACTAGCACAGGAACGTTTTCCGAATTGAAATGAATGAATTTTTGGCTTAGTTATGCGTTTTTTTAAATTGGATTTGTCGAAAAAATTGTCAAATAAAAATTACGATAAATATTGATTCAAAGATTCGGTCATATAACAATATAATATAATACAATCTTCGGCTCCCCAAAGTTCGATTCCTTTCTTGTTCATATTATAAAACTTTTCCTTAGGCCGTCTTGTGTTCCATCTGTCTGTCACCTCTTGAATCTCATATATCTATACTAATTTCCCCAGTGTGCCCACCGAGCTCTTCACAAGGAGCGCTAAATTGGCCACCAATTGGAGTCCACTCAAGGGCTCTTTGCTTCACTTCAGTTCTCGGCGGTTCAGTTGAGTTCACATCACTCGTACGCTTTATCATCAGGTTGTAAAAGCTCCCATAAAGGCTGCCATTAAATGGCCAAGTGATGTCAACATTAGGAGGGGCCACGCCCACACCCGGACACCACCATCCCTTTACACGTGGGTCGAACTCATCCGCTGGGATTTGCAATATGTCGCCAGCATATTCATCACCTTTTGCCACCCTCCCCTTTTGTGGCGCAACACCTCGTTTTGACATGGGGCGCTGTCAAAATATTGACAATTGGTCTTTAGTTGGCGTGAAGGTCGACTGCACATTAACTGCAGGCACACTCAAGGACACACAAGCTACAGGCTTTCTTTGGCATAGGGCGTGGTCGCGTCCCCGTAAATCTGCGACACTTTCGGGCCACGTCTTTGGGCCAAAATTTGCTGGGGGAATTAGCGTGCGATTATCTTCTAATTGGATGCTAATTCCCCACCGCAACCCACTTACGCACATTTATATACATAATCCCTCAGCTCGGAGCTGCTAAAATCAACGAGTGTTTGCCACTGCGTGACTTACTTTAAATTCGAATAATCGAATCGAAATCAGATTTGGCCTGTTGACTTTGCTCGTTGTGTGTGGAAATCTCAAGCGTCGCGGTTTTTGGATTTTGGCAAGTGCTGAGAGCTTGTTGATGCGACTGCTGTCCCTCCGAATATTTATAGAAGCAATTGGGATGGATAACCGGGTGCCAGGCGGTGCCAGGTGCAGGAGGAGGAGCAATGAATCTACCTCCGGCTACGAGTTTCTTGTCTCACTGCACACGTTTCCAAGCTGGATAAAGGATTGTCCAGGGAAAAGGTTTCGAGCCAAATGAGAGAACCACAGGAAGCCTAGGGCCTGTGAAACGTGCCAGAAATATATACTTGGCTACACTGAAAGTAACTCAACTTCTATAAGATATAAGCAGGATAATGCTTGGGAAAATAAATATTCTTCCAGCATTTATATGTGTATTATTATGAATGTTTAGTCTGATTTTTTAATTAATATAAGTATTCAATTAATAATGTTTATAACTAGCCTCAAAGCTATTATCCACGAAAGGTTTAACTTTTAAAAGCAAAATCTAATTAATAATTCAGAGCCAATGTTGTAATAATATGCGTCGTTTTTTATGAGCTCTTTAATATTATTCTGAATGATTTTTTATGAGACATTCCTATTATTTTAATTCTGTTTAGACATCAACCAAACATTGACCACCCGGAGTTCAATTAAAATAAATGACATACCTAATTGCACTACCATTTTTGAGCAACATTATTGTGTTTGTAATATTTATCACTTTATCAAAGTGCGACTTGCCTCCCTTCAAGCTGATGAGGTCAGTTCATTGGACCAGCTTCAGTTTGTGATAAGGCCAGGGAAACCCCGAGAAGACACATATCAGCATACTGTTCACATTTAATAATAAACTTATGTATGTGTACACTCAATATTTGCATCACACAATTATTGCAAATTGAGGAGCATGGAATCGCGAGTGATTCGAGTGAAAGTTTCTGGAAAGGGGTGCGATTATCGAGGGGCTGCTCCTTCAAGTGCATTCGCGCATCGGTCATTGTGCCGTCTTATTCCATTTCGAATGCAATTGTTGGCATTTGGAGGCTTAACCGGAAACTTTTAATTTAATTAATTTATACACAAAGGCGCAATCAAGAGCACCGGTGACTGGCAGTGGCAGGGGCGGAGGCAAAGGGAAATCGTGGAGGAGACCATGCGAAATTGCGGTTACAAGCGCCGTGTGCATCTGATAGATAGATAGATGTAGTACCATATAGTATAGTACCTCCCAGCGGCCGCCCGTCGCGATAAAGCGCTTTTGATGTTCACTCGCTCTGTTCTGTTCTGTTCGGTTCGGTTCATTTAGCTTTATTTTCTTTTGTTTCGCTTCGCGGGTTATTCCAAAACAAAATCAGCCATAATTCAGAGGTTTGCAACCTATAAGATGCACGTTCCTCAAAATGTTGTCTATTTGGATATTCACATTTTTGGGGGAAGGAGGGCAACAGGTGAACTTTGTTTATTGATGCACTCATTGTGGTAATTTGTTTGCTCAGGATGATTTAATGGGCAACCCGCAGACAGGGTCAAGGGTGGCTGAAATATACATCATTATACTGGATAAATGGCCAAATGCTAGAGCGGAAGTGTTGGCCATCAATTAGCCAATCAGCAGGACATGCGATACAAGCAACAGGTGGATGTCAGCAAGGCAAATATTTAGTTGGATTTTGCGGTCAGCATAAACATGATTCCAAATGTTATGGCTTTCTATTCAGTTAATTCCTGCGGTCAGCATAAACATAAGAGTCCGAATTTTATTGATTTTTATTTCGGTGGTCTAGCATATGTTCCCTTGCCGTAGCATAAATAAATATTTAGGCATAAACATTTAATTATTTAGAGTGAATAGTTCAAATTGCTTGGGCCCACACACTTGTTATGTAGTTACCTGGAATTGGCCGAGGATCGTTGCGAATTGGAGGAGGAGGTGGAGCCACAGGTAGCAATTGCGAATCCAATCCGAGGTTCCAATGACTTGTTTCGCCTCGATATCTCTTCAAATTATTTCGGCCGCCGAGACGCTAATTAAATTGACACTTTTTTCCCCCGATTTCGGCCATAAAAGAGCGGATGGAAAACTTTTATTTCTTATTTATTATTTATTTAGTTTGGCATTTCATTGAGACAAAGCCCACACACTCAACACTGGGGGGGACACACTAGCACAATTCCGGATATATCGGTTCGCACTGGATTTTAATTTGTTTATTAATTTTTATGATAGAAACTAAATTCAAATTCGATATCGATGCTGATTTCGATTTCGATTCCGTTTCGAATCTGCGATTTTGAGGGCGGATCTGCGGATGTGCGGAATTCCACCGCGCTGGCCAACGCTCGACGGCAAAATGCGCGAACGCTTCGCACGGACCAAGGCATGGCGGCTTCGCTTTCGGGTTCGGCTCGGGGTCTTTTGGGTTCGTTCGGGTCTTGTGGGTCTTCGGGTCGCCGAGCCCCCCGAGCCACCCACCACGGACGCCTGTTGAGTGCGTAGCCGCCCGGTGGGTGCGCTGGTGGTGGGTGGAAGGCCTGGTGAATTGTGGTGAGTTTTGGGACATGCAGTTCTATGGCTTTCCCTTTTCCGTCCGGAAATAATCGTAAAATGGCTAAAATAAAATATGCCCACTTTTATTCTTATGACTTATGGTCGCCGCCGTGATTGTTTCTTCTGTATTTTTCGTCTTTTGACCTTTGTAAATTTATTTGTACGCTTCCAGGGACACATACAATGAGGGTGAAATAAATAGGAACATTAATGATAATTTTTGATCACATATTGAACCATAAATAATAGAAGATACCTAAACTGATTTACTAGTCTTATTAAGAAAACTATGACAATACTCAGAAATCCTGAAGAAATTAAAAACGAATTTACTTGTTAAAATTATTCTTAACTATTTTATTTATTTAGTAATTTTTTAAAGCACCTTGGAAATCCCAGGAAAATTCAGGAAGTGGTTATATTTTATTTATCTCAATTTCACACACAATTGAAACGTAAACCGAAATGCGTGATAAATATTTTCCGGTCATTTTGGTTCTTTGACCAACAAATGAATTTGACTGCCCGCAAAAATTGACGGTGCTCTCAATCAATCGATTCATTGAAATTGATGGCCAGCTGGTTGATCCTTGGCATTCACGAAGGGAGGAGGGAATGGTTTCGGTCACTTCAGGCGGATGTGCCCAAGAGCACGCAACCCCCCGAAATAATCGTTTGGCCAAAATCAATTTGTGCGACTTTGTTGCTTTATGGGGCTGTCATCTCTCTATATAAAACCCCCATAGGCCACCCTTGGCATCCCGCTTCCATCACCAACCACTTGTTAGCAGTTCATCAAAATTGTTTGCCGCATATTAATTGCCCGTTGTTATTATTGTTATTGTGGCCGCGGTGCTACTTCGCTACTGTTCCACGGAGTGCGATCGTATTGTTTGAGTATTGTTATTAATGCCCCCCAACCGCACCTCTCATCCCAATTTGCCGGGAATATATCGCTTTATTGACATTTGGAGCACGTGACCAGCGTGCAGAGATGTTTGTCTACTGCTAAGCAAATAGTCACTGCTTTTAATGTGCAAACAAAACCGAATGAGGAGCGAGTCTCTGTTTGTTGCAGCCCATGTGGCGTATACGTTATAAAATCGAAAAAATCTTCGATACTGTAGATATCGCTTATGTGAACAGTCTATTCTCATATGCAAATATTACATAGGAGCTTACTGTATCAGAGTTTACTTTAAGTTATCAATTATTTATAGAAGTTCCTATAATATGTCAATATTTCATTGGAATATTAAAGTAAATATACGTTTTTATGAATACTTAAACTCTTTTTGGAATAAATAAGCTATTGTATTTATGGCATTTTGCAATTAAAATAAATGTATAAAGCTTTAGATTCAAATCGTGTCTCGAATACTGTTTTAATATCTCATATAATTTGATAAAATGATATGCTAATTTAATTAGTTATATTATAATTGTAGACATTTTTAATAAATTTTAGATAGTGCTAAGACAAAATATATTTTTAAGTAAAAAACATACAACTGAACACAAAAATCCTCCGCATATTAATTTTAAAACTGACCAAGACTCTAAAAAATATAAAAATAAACTTTACTCCTTTGAATTTTTAACTAATTAAAGTCAATACGCGTGCCTGTATATATTTCCCTCATAACCAATGCATACTGTAATCGTTCCCACTAGTCTCTGGCCGGATTTGTCAGATTTAAACGTAGCCACTGACTTAAGCATATGACCCACGTGCCGGCCATTCGGTGTCCATTAACACGTCCCTGCTGCGATCCATAAGGAGATTTGCCTGCAATCGCTTGGACCGACGTCAAATTGTACAATTTACGGCATCAAATTTAATTGCTTCTGAATTTTTAGAATTTCAAAAAGTCTGTGCGAACGAAATGGGTAACGGAAGAAAAGAGACAGAGATATCACATATAAATATGGCTTAGCTTACACCACTTTGTTGTGTGGTGAAAAGTATCTGAAAACAAATGGTTGGTGTCTAGGCTAGCAATCCGGTAGATAGCTTTTGTATCTTTATAATTTTAAATTACATATTCGATGCATCTTTTAGGATAAAATGGTATAAGTTGATAAATTTATACTGGAAATCTCAAGAGTTATGTTCATTATTTTATTGTAAACTTCTAAAAATATATTTTAGAATCTGTTTGCGTGTTGATATTGCCAAGATATAGTAGATATAAATACTATTATAGATATATTTTATATACGTTTTATCTGGCTAAATAACTGGGTTATTCTGTATTTAGGAATACCCATATTTCTTCCTGTGTGAACATTAAGGCAGGCTTCAACCCGAAAACCATATGTTAACCACTCGGCTTCAAATCGTCTCGGTTATGTAGAAGCAACAGTAATGTGATATAAGCTTCGCTCCCCTATGAAAATTGCAGGCACATTCAATGAATTCTACAAAGTAGAGAAACGGAGATAAGCAGCAATAAATAAATATGGAAGGGAAGAGAGACTCGTGCACGGGTGCAAAACGTTTATTAATTGTCACAGTTTATACACAGAAAAAAATTCTATAATTCTTTCTAATATCTTTTGAATGGAAAAATTATCAAGTAACTAGAAATATGTTGTGCGCATTTTTTAAAGAAATTGAATCAGTTGGCTTTGAAATACCTAATTCTTAAGATAAACCAATGATACATATTTATATATACTAATAAGTACTTATGCCATTTTTCGTGTCGTGTATGGGAACCAAAGTGGCGAGTCGGAAACGATATGCACTTGGCTGCTCTCCCCTAGCAATGCAATTCGAGGATTCGGTTACTTCGCGGGTCCCCAAACAATATCCCCTATTCAATGTGCACTTTTTTTTGCCAGACATAACCATATCCATATCATATCTGGATGGCATTTACATATGGACATTTCGAGCCCCACAAGCGTACACTAAGCACATTTTAATTAAGACGCAGCGCCAGTTGGCTTCGGCTTCTGATCAGTTTCGGGTTCTGAGCGTTGAGTTCCGAGTTTCTGGGCTGTGGGTTCTGGTATATTCAGTCTTGAACTAGGCGCGCCTGCGAAAGATGTGCGCCGGGCGAGGCGGCTCCACCGATCCAAGTAATCCAGAGCCTCGGAGATAAGCTAATAGATACCTCGAAATGTGCTGTTGGTGTGCACGTGTCTATTGGACGGTTCTGCACAATCTGCTGCTCCGGATGCTGGACAGTCTGATGGAACTGCGTCTGAGGTCGACCGTCTTGTGTGGCTGCTGTGCCGGTTATCAGCGGCAGGCCGGTGAGGAGGGTGACGTCGCCGTCGTGGAACGGGTTTCCAGCACTGATGACGATCAACGACATCATGATTACGTCATTGTGGGTGAGTTCTCGCTGATCAAGATCTCTTTTTAGCCTAAACATTCGCCGATCACTTTCAAAACAATAAACATACAGGCGAGGGGAGCAAAATAACAAACAAAATGCCTTTTTATACTAGTTTTTATACCCTTGTAAAGGGTATTATCATAATAGCCAAAAGATTGTTACTTTGTGAAGGAGTCATTTCCAACCCTATACATCATATATATTCTTGATTAGCATGAACAGGGGAATCTTTCTATATATCTTCGGCAGAAAGAAAAAATTTAAAAAATTTTCAATTTTTTGAAAAAAAGGAAAGGGGTTACATCGTTAAAATTGTCGAAAATTGATAATAATTTTAATTTACTCAAATTTTGAATTGAGTTTGCAGATTTGTTAACCTATCAAAAACTAATATAGGAACGTGTTTTGAATTGAAATTAAAGCATTTTTGGCATAGTAATGCGTTTTAAAACTTTGATTATTCGAAAAAAGTGTCGAAGAAAAATATCCTTAAATTTTCAAATCAATAATTTACGATTTACGATTAGATCCTATAATTAAATTATTATCTGCAAAGGTATATAAATTGTTGCTTCCCACAGTTAAGTTCCTTTCTTTTTATTTCTTGTATCTTTAAGATTTACTTTTACTTTTATGATTTCTTGTCCCCGCAGATGATGCCGATGCCACCTACACAGAGATCGAGGAGCGGCATGTGGAGACGGAGCAGTACTACTTCACCGTGGATCGTGCCACGGCGGAACGAATGCTTCAGGGCAGGGAGGATGGCTCCTGTCTGGTTCGTCCCTTCAAGGCAGCCGATCAGTGCATCCGATACATTGTGAGCATCTGGGCCTCGGACCAGTACTATCACCTGTTCGTCCGACAGCTGGACAGGAGGCAGCGCTACGCCATCGGGCAGCGGAAGTCCGGGGAGCGGTACTTCGGCTCTCCCTCGGAGATCGTTGAGTTCTACTCCCAGCATCCGCTGCTGTGCACCAACAAGACCGTGAGCCAGTGCATCCGTCTGCATCCCATTAGTTACGCTTAGTAGATCGGAGCCTAGAATCAAATCTTCAGGACCTTAGGGGTTAAATCTTTATTGGGTAAGAGACGCGGGGATTATGTACAAATAGAGTTAACTTAGGGGGATCCCAGATGTAGATCCTCAAGTGGCCACCACCGCCTTGAAGGCACATTGATTGTTTTGCATCAAAGCGGGCCAGAGGAAGGCCTTGATTAGATCCGATCGCCGGTCCGCCTGGGGATGCCGTTCGTGTTTCTCGGGACGCAGAAAACCTAGGATAAAGTTTTGATAATTAGCACATAAGCTCAGGATTAAAACACCCCCAAATACCCACCGAGGTTAAAGTCCATGTCCAGGTAGTAGGGCGACTTCTGGTTGATCATCCGCCACGCCAGACGCACACAGGCACTGACGTAGTGCGTCAGTGGGGGGCAGGACTCCAGGCAGGGATACTCGTGGAGTGTGGATAGCACCTGGTTGAACACCGATCGCTCGATCTCGCCCAGCGGAAAGCTATCGGAGGTCTCGTGCAGATGCTGGCGCACGGATCTGTCCAGGGCCAGTGTCGTCTCACTGCTGCCCTCCAAGGAGCAGTTAAGGACGCGTCGCACCTCCAGCACCTTGCGCTCCCGCATACCGTGGCACAGGCGGAAGGAGAGCTAAATGGGGGAATATACAATCATATGATAAATAAAGTGATCTTAAAGTATTTATAAAAAGTGTTTCTGTACCCTTCTAACCTTGGATTGCCTTCAATTGAGAAATATCTTTACTTAATAAGCTAAAACATTTTTAGTTATTCCTCTTCACCATCAGAGTTGAGAAACTTAAGCTCTTTCAATTTACATACTGATCATTGCCAGAGTTGTCTTTTCTTTTCTGGGAAAGTGTCATTCATCTCACGCCGATCGAAAGTGGTTCGATCAGCTATAATCTGAAGTGCCTACGTAATTTCTGGCACCCTGCAGCGATACACTTTCCCTAGCTTTTCGCTTCCACAACGCCTAATCATCCTCAAACGCGATTGCGATCTGGCCAAATTGATATTTTGCAACGGCAATTTGTGGTTTGACAGGATCTGAAGCTTCATAGCCCACGGCTCTGGTCTTGGTAATTGATGGCCAAGCACTTGAAAATTGAAAGTAATCTTCGTGTGCTGCCTTGATCTAACTTGGACTGAAGATATACAAATTCTATACATGATTTATTGTATGTTGTCAGAAGAATAGGCATTCTTTGAAATCATTTGCATAAGGTGTTTGCTCAGAGAAATTTTCCATTGAAATTGTGACAGCTATTGAATTTCTAAATGTTTATAACATGCGATTGTCCCACTTAAAAACAATAAGATGCCAATTTCATTATGACCCGAGCTTCTTTAAATTGAATAGCCATTAGGAACACCTTGCAAAACTGCTATCTTTAAAACATTGACAGGGAATTCGGCACTAATAGTCAAATTAATGAGCACCATTTATCCCAAAAAAATATTATAAAGCAACATTTTTTCTTGATTTGATCTTATAATTTCTCAAAGGCCTAAGCCTAGCCCAAATACCAGTCACATATAAAAATCAAGCTCATAAAAAGCTCATAATTGACATAAAAAATGTTTTGTGAGACACACCCAATTAGAAATTTATTAGTCTTTGGCAGACAAGAGAAAAGATTGTCTGTCATGCAATTGCCACTAATTTCTCCCGATCGAGTTAATCTCAAAATGTTTTTCGGTTCATTATGTAGGCTTCGGGGCCTATGCCAGCCCAGAGATCTCATCTTGAAGCTCAGGTAACTCGGACTCACCACAATCATCGAGAAGAGTATCTTCCCCTTGAGGCTGTGCGCGTGTTTTATCTGCGGCAGACTGTCCAACGCCTCCAGTGCGTCTGCTCGGTTCTCGACATAGAGACTCCGGTAGAGCGACACCATTTCGCTGTGGAGAAAGGGGAAGTGAGAGATACATATATGAGAATTGAGAAGTGAGAAAAGAGTAAAGAGAAAAGAGAGATGAGAAGTCAAAGATGAGGAACAGATTGGAACGTGGGATGCCAGCAAGTGAGAGTTGGCTGTGGTCTTGAGTTATTTTTTTGTGGGTGTTCCAGCTTATTCAAAGCAGGTCAAGTGTTAGAACCAGGTATTGGGTATGATAATTAGTTTTGTCAAAAGTCATGTTCAACATGAAACATCTCTAAAGTATTCCGAGTAATCAAAATGAAAGTATTTCTTAGATTTCGTAAAACAAAAGAATTGCTCACCTCCCATCATCGCTGCCAGAGTCATCGGAGTGGTACCCATCGCTGCAGCTGCTTCCGCTGGCTCCTCCCGGTGGCGTGGCCTTGCCCATGGACATGGAGCCGGTTAGGGAGCCAGGTGGACCTCCCTCGGGACCCATCATGTGAAGCACCACCTCGCAGCCGCGGGAAAAGTTCATCAGTAGGCCGGCGGCGGGACGCTTCTCCACCAGCGCCTGTGAGTCCAGGCGACGCACTTGACCCACACAAGACAGCACCTCCTTGTCGTTCTCAACTCGCGTGCTCAGGTTCTCCACCAGCGTCTGGAGCTGTTTCAGTGCCGGCTTGTCCAGCATTGTGAGCAGGGTCTTGTTGTCAATCAGTCGCTGTTGGATGTCCCCGTAATTAATGGCCAATAAACGCTGGTGGGAGGAGTGGGCAGGATCCTGATTCACTGTCACCATGCTCAGCTCCTCCAGCTTGTGAATGGCCATCTTGTAGGTGTCCACATGGCGTTGCAGCTCCGTCTTCAGAGCCACATGCAGGGATATGAGCTGGCCAGAGGCATCGGTGGTGAGTCCATGGACTCCTAAACCCTGCACTGCATTGTCGAAGCTTCGTCTGCGATCCCTCACGGTTTGCCGGAGAGCGGGCTCATACTGGGCCAGAGCCTGGAGCAACCGGGTGCAACGCTGACGCAGTCCAGACTCGTGGGGATTGGCGAACAGGCGCACCAGCTGCCAGGCCACAGTCTCACTGGGCACCTCCGGCTTGGGGGTGGTGTTCAAGGTGGTTAATCTGGGAAGCACAGATTAAGTTTCAAGGTTAAGGAAAGGGAGGGAGTAGTAACATAAACATATTTATTATATATAATGTCTTACCTGGTAAAAAACGACTCCAGCAGGTAGGCACTGTGAGGCAGATGCTCCAGCAGAAGATCCAAAGGCAGCTCGGCTATGACAGATCGCAGGACTGAGGGACCCAGTCGCCCCACCACTCCGGCAGCTTCTCTGTATTGCCTGCCCTCTGAGAGGAGCATCAGGCGGCGAAGGACCTGCCTGGGACTGGTGAGGAACTCCCGGCCATCCCGCGAAGGTCCCCGGATCCGTTCCCTGCTGTCCGCCATGGAACCACTGCAAATGGACAGCGGCGGCGATGGATGGATGCCCTGCGAAAGGAGGACGGCGTCCTGGTGGTTCTTCAGCAAGATCTGCTTCCTGCAGGCGCGGTAGTTGGATAACTCGAGGTTACTCAGGTTACTCGGTTGTGGGTTAATGGAATGGCTTTGTACAGATGCAGATGCAGATGCAGATGCGGATGCGAAGACTGAGAGATGCAGATGCGGATGCAGAGTCTGAGATGCAGATGCGGGTTCAGTGGGACTGCTTACAGCATATTGGGCGTGGGCTCCATGGCAATGCGGGGCTATGTGGGCTCCAGTCACCAGTCAGTGGGGGGAGTCCCTGGGGTCTGAAAAATGGCCAGACACAATGCCACGATTAATAACAAATAGGAAATCTCTTTGGCAAGAATTCGCGCACAAAACAATTGCACTTTCACCGGCGCAAAACAACACCAGCCGCCATAATTTATCATAAGTTAAGGCGCCACGCATAGCCCGAGATAAATGTATATACAATGCCACAGGTTGGTGGTGGGAGCTACCACCTCAGAAATGACAACTAGGAAAATGTTTTTCAAAAGGCAGCTTTCCTTGGGGGCCACGTATTCCAGCTATTTCTTTTGGGAGCCCGAGAAAATGCGACGAGCAAAATGCTTTACCATTAATGTTAGGTGGAACAAATAAATAAACAAAGTTTGAAAGAAATTTTAAGTTGGCTGTCTGGACACCTGCAGGGTTACTGCTTCCCCCCTTGTAAACGTTTTCATGGGGTATCAGGGAAATGGACACTGGAGCAACCAACCCGAACCGAAAAGAGCGGACCGTGTTTGTCTTCCCGAGAATCGAGCGGAGGAGCACATAAAATATTTACCAAACCAGCCGAAAAGCGCGGAAAAGCAGCCGACCACAGCGGCGATTAGGTATATAGAACTACTCATATGTCTACAGAGGGAGAAAAACTAAGCAGTATATTCAGTTTATAATACTAATAATATATATAAACCTTTAACAAAACCTTTTATTTAGTTTGATTACATTTCTAACACGATATCTGTAAGGTCTCATTACTTACTTATAACGTTTCATTAAGTTGCGACCTGGGAAGGATTGACTTTCATTCGATTATTCAAGTATTCATAGGTACATATATACCCAATTAAATGGAATTATAATTTTAATTTAAACTATATATTTCTTTCTCTGTCTCTGTAATAGTTTTTAATTTGAAACTTCAATTAATAAGCTTGTGCGAGTGTGTGCCCCTCCACAAGTTGTAGTTCCAGCTAAATGCCCAGACTGGGAGCCGGAGGTGACAGTGACCCAACGCGGCAAAGGTCAGACGTCGTGCATTTGCGGACCGGCTTAACGGACAGGTAGACGCCTTAATTGAAGGTAACTAAGTGCCTAAGTGCGCTTTGGCAATACCTGTAAGTGCCGTTACCGTTAGCTGCCACAGGCAGCGGAAGGTGTGTCCACCGCTGCCGCTGGGAATGAATGCTCCACTGTGGCAAGGGCGTGGCACTGTGGGAAAGAGATCAGATCTGCGTACGTGTTGCCAAAACAGCAGGCAGGATCAGATCAGCCGGTGATCTGCAATTCGCAAATCTTTCCCAGCTCATGCACCGTGCGAAATCCGAGAGATAGACAAAGATGCGGCATTCCGCTGAGCCCATGTGGCGAGAGAATCCGAGAGAATCTCCAGACATGACGGACACAAAGGGAAATGGTGATATTACCCGACAATTATGAGCACACGGGCGACAAATTGAAAGATGCCATCTGCTGGTGCTAGAGCTGGGAAAGCCATAGAAACGTGGCCATGACACTCGGGATGCGCTTCGTTGGCTTACATCAAGAAAAAAGAAAAACTCACATCACACACAGCAACAAAACCAAATGAAAAAGGGCCAAGAGGGAAACCAGAGTTGGGAGTTATGTAAGCCGGTGACAAACGACCGGGAGTTGAGAACGGAAGCCAAACTTGTCGCCACAGAATGCCAGAACCCGAGTGTATCTCTATCTGCGTACCAAGTATCTCCACCGCCTTCTCCATCCCTATCCCCAGCTGTATCTGTATCTGTATCTTTGGCTGCGGCTTTTAGTTACACTCCGGGTCTCAGTTGGTTTAATGAACCCAGCGAAAATAGAAATGCGGCGATGTGAAATGATTTGTTGTGCTGGCCAGAAGACAAACATAACGCTGGTGCTGCCCCGCCACAACGCCACTATTGTTATTACAGCAATTCGTTATGAAGTTGCTCAGCTCTGCGATAGTCCCTGGGTTTTCGCAGGCCAACAAACTTCTAATTGCCACGACCCCGTGCTCAGCTTGCAATCGAAAGAGGGGCCTTGATTCCGCCTTAATGTGATACCTTTTGTGGGTTTGGGACTATAGAATATGGGTATATAAAAGGTAATCTTAGGATAGTTTAAAATCTGCAAGATCCAGTGGGTGTTACTAAGTTTCTATATATAACATAATTAACAGAAATGGATAATAACTAAAATAACCCTCTTGTCATGTATGACTTAAATTCGTAGCAAGTACCAAGTATTCCCTAGTCTAGACACCTTTAAAGTTCGCATTTCTTGTAGCTAGTTCCCTGATTTTCTGGCTCTATCATAATGGGTTCCATAACGAGCTCGGGATGAAGTCTGACTACAGAACCCATAGATGGCGTGCGGCTGCCATTAAGATTTGATTGCGATCAACTAACTCGGGGATACTCGCATCTCTGTGGCCCGCTGGGGATTCATTACAATCCCGACCGGACACCTGTACCTGTGGCAATTAGCAGCGGCCAGACTGCCAAAAGAATAACAACACAGATGGGCAAAAAGCAGGCCGTTTATCAAAGAGAGCGAAGCGACCCAATCAAGTTGACCTCAAAATTCAGCCGAGACAAAGCGGCGCGAATTTATTTGTCGTAAGGTGAACAACGCACAAGTTCTGCAAAAGAAACTTGTTTATGGAACGATCTCTAACAGTTACACGACCGTCCATCCACAAAGGGAAGAACGGGCATCTTTCAGTTCCCAGATCCGAAGATCTTCAGGGAAAATTACCATATCCATTCTAGTCCCATTGATTGATTCCATCATAAAGCACATATAGTTCGCGGCTAAGACAAAAGACCCCGCAGGCGGTGCCCCCGAAGTTGACTGGAGACCTACTTAGGTCCCAGGGCTCTGGGCCAAAGCCCGGCCACCCATCAAAGTTTGACAGCTCGGCCACAATCTAATTCGTATTAACTTTTTTCGGCTGTTTTTTTTCCGGAGTAGCACCTCAATTATGATGGGAACAAGTCGGGCCCGAAACTGGGTTAATTTCATTCATTCAATTAGAATAGGAACAGCCGGGAGTAGAGTCTGGTTGTTTTATGACCAGGTTGCAAGCTGCTTGGCCGCTAATTGGCGACGCGTCGCCAGCCGGAGTCACTAGCTCCGTTTCTGGGAAAGATCTTCTTCGCAATCTGCATAAATTAGCACAGTCCGACCCTTGACTAAGCAGCCATAATGAGAGACTAAGCATCCGATTTGAGGAAAGTATCTAATTATGCGCGGAATCGCGGCTTGTTTGGGGAGCAGTCAACGCGGGTTTATGGCAAGAAATCTTGGATATAGGCACTGATTAGATGGCCCACGGGTTAGAAAAGAAAAATTAATTAACAACACCATTTGGATGACATAGTGAGCATTGCTCAGTCAGTTGGTTATTAAGATGTCTCCTTATGGCTTTTCCCGGGGTGTGGCATAATATTTGTACAACTTTAGAGTTCATTGTTCGACATTTGGTCTACCTTTCATAGATGAATCTAACATTTTAAATGAAGATTAAAGATGTATCTAATAATGGAAGAACTGATTTATTGTTTAAGGCAGAAGATGCATTTATAAATTGTTTATTAATTGTATATTTAGTTGTTTTAAACAAGAAAAAGGTGTGATAGCTTCAAGCCTCTACAAAGATAGTCTCTATTAAACATAGAGCCTTTGTTTAACTCCAACAATTTTCATAATAACATATTTTTAATCACACCAAAAGTATCTTATGCTGAAGCTCTGCAGCTTGAGGAAAGTTACTCATTATGCGCTTGGCTTCCCACTAAACATGTGAAGTTTTCTGGTAATGTTTTCATCTTCGGAGCGTTCAACTCTATTGGTGCTCCACTCCGTTGGCACCCACACAAGATGTTGTTTTCGTGCCACTTACATGGTTTTTTCCAGCGTTGCTGGTTGTGGGTAAGTGTGCCACTAATCCAAGATCCGAGATCCGATCCGCAGGAGAGTCGCCAGGTCTTCTTCTCACTTGACACCGGAAAAGTTGCAGTCGCCCGTTTTCCCCAATTGCTGCTGTGCAATTTTCACTTGGCTGCCGAAAGCGACAGGGTCAAATACCGTCTTGGGGTTTTTAAGATTGTACTTGTACTTGTATCTTGTATCTTTTAGCTTAAACTTGAGCTTGTAGTTGGCAGAAATCAAAGCGTTGACGTTGCCTTCGTGTCTTTTTTACTTGTTCAGGCTGGCAATTTCCATTTGACAAGCTCGTCTACAAACATTTTTGCACTTCATTAACTCATCCAACATTTGTGGAGTGCAAATGCCACGGGAAATTCCTCACTGTTTGGTCTCTGTCCCCTTCACTCTTTAAATTCTTTTCACTATTTCGCGCCTTACCGTTCAAGCACGCGCGGAAAAATATTTGGAAAATATCAAAACAAAACTACGGACGAGCACTACCGATCGCGGTAAAAGTCCAAAACAGACTGAACGAATGTCATGACCAAAGCAGCAGCTGCAGCTCTTGTCGGTCTTCGAGCGGGAGTGTGAGAGAGAGCGGCTCACTGGCGTCGAAAGAGAGGGAGCTAGAGGTCTGCGCAGGCGCGCACACTCTTCTCGCGACTCGAAGTCCACAGAGCAAAGATCAAGGCGGCGACAGAGAGCCATGGAGCTTGGAGCTCCACTAAGCCCCACCGAGATTAACTCTGCCACTAAAGCGGCTTGGAAAAGTTAAGAAGTACACAGAAAATAATATTGTATTAAACTTATTTCCATTTCTTTATATTTATAAATTAATCAATCAAAATCTATAGAGATTTATGCGGCATGCCAGAGTATGTGACATGTAATAGTAATAAAAAGTTAAGGCTTTAAGATCCATTAGGCTTTACTTTCAATGACCAACTTTGCTTTGGTAAACATTAAATGAAATCCAATATGTTATCACAGTGTTCCAAAGACAGCAGCAGCTGTTTCCACCGCCGAGGCAGTTGATTTGAATTGAGCCAACTAATAGCCGATGTTTGTTTGTTTTTGACCAAGTTAAGGCGCTGGCAGCGGAAAGTGCAAGCCAAGATGCAGCTGTTATGCTGCCATTTACCGATTGTTAGTTTAATTGCAATAATGGACGCCTCCGCGGGGGGCTCCACATCATGGGATTCGGACTTGGATTCGGATACGGCCTCGACTAGGAGTTGGAGTTGCAGTTTGAGCTGGGGAATTTGGGTTAGTGTGCGCGGTTTTGGCCGCAGCAAGTTGGGGAAGAAATCGCATTTAAAGAAAGCTTTCTACTGGCGGTTTGTTGGTTCCTAAGAAAATTTAAACTAAGGCCATATTTAGAATCTCCTTCAATACGTT